CTTTATAGCCAATACATCCTTAATGATGACGTAACTTGCCTCTTTCTTGTAGTTAGATAAAAAGTCCTCGAACGTGCCTTCTTTGAAGGATGTCCACCATGCGGGGATCTTCACGGTCTTGAAGCCTTCGGTAGCAATTCGAATTAATGTCGATTGAACGTGATCCATTCTCTCTTGAAGGTAAATATCGCTATAATTTCCGGATAGATTCTTCGGTGGTCGAACCTCCTGTGAAACATCAACAATTCAGAAGACATTGATCGTAAAACGATTTACAAGGAAAGATTATGATGGCAGGCTTCAAGAAAATATTAGATACATATTTCTTTAGCTGCAGTAACTCGAATTTAGGGGGTGAAATCATCCCCAAAATTAATTGTGATCAATACCATTTTTTTAAATAATTTTTAAAATATTTCATTAACTTCAGTATTCTTTTCGGAATATTAAAAATCGTTACGATCGTTTCGAGGGTCTCATAATTGAACATTATACCTCGTACTTCTGATCGAGAGGCAATATATCGATCAGCGTCAGACGCTTGTCGGAGAGGACGATCTTCTGGCAATAGTTGGAGACGCTCGACAAGAGTGCTTTCTTCCTCACGAAACTGGGCACGATCAAATATTTGTCGATGTCGCACAGGTGCACCCGGCCGAACGAGAGCTTTTCTACGAAATCGCTCAACCTCTCCGACTTCACGAAAGTGTCAACACCGCTCACGACGAGATTCGGCAGATCTTCTATCAGAGTCAAGAGCGGTTTCATCTTCGAGCTTTCGTAGAGTGTACGCAGCTTTTGCCAGACGTCACCGCCGGCCAGCAGTTCGACCGTCGCGTCTATGAGCTGATACATTCGAATTAATCTCGTTACTGGATCCGATGCGCCGATCGACGAACTCAATCTGATGCGGCCCTCGAGTTTTTCGTTCATCGCGCACCTCTTCAGCCAACTTTGCCCGGCCGTGTAAACGATAGACAGAGTCTCGTTCGACATATGCTGCCAGGTCCTCGCGCTGAAGATGTTCGATCTTAAAACGACGTTAGGATACTTCTCGTGGAAAGCGAATGCGGCATCTAGCAGCTTGGTGACGGCAGAACTCATGCGTGTCATGTTTGGCAGCATTGCTTGATTTTTCGCTGCAAGCTGTTACGAACAGATTAAGTAGAACAGTACGTAGTCGCTTTAAAGTGTACGCTGTACTTACGAAATACTCATCGCTGGTTATGCTCTTCAATAGCTGGTAAGGGTCGAAGGAGCAAATTTCGTGTATGAACCGGGTTCGATTGGGGGCAAACCAGTAATTCGAATTGAACGGTAGTCTGCACACGGTTTTCCTTACTTCTTCGTAAGGCATGAAATTGCCTGTCGTCGCATTGATCGTAGTAATGCTGGCGACCAAAGCGATTGCTTCTTCTGGATGGATATCGAGAATCTTTAACAACTGACGAGCATCACCTCTCTCGACTAAGTTCCACAGATGGATCGTATTCTCCTGTGGATTAATGTTCTTTATCGTGCTCGTAATGTGACCTAGAGCCTCGGCAATACCCTCTATAAGAAACCTAAATTTGCCTCCTTTCATTTCCTGAAAAAATGAATTAAAAAATACCATCGAGTTCATGGAAATTTGAAGAAATCGTAAAACGATCGATTCACCTGAGATGTGGGTTTTGTATCGTTATATTCCAGAGCGTCCTCCAAGTTCTGAAGAGTGGCCAACCAATAGGACGTCGAAAATGGCACCTGTATTTCTACAGTCTTGTTCATCGTATCTGTGACGAATTTCCAAGTTTCTGATACGGAATCATAGAGATCACCGATCATGGTCATCGTGTACGATCGATATTTGTCGACAGGTGTTCTCCACACGGTCGTCTCAGTCATGTACAAATCGGTGTAGGCATTGAAGTTGTCTGGATCGAGATCGCAGGTGAAGTTCTTCAGGATTCTGTATTCCTCAGGAGTGATACCAATGACAGCCTCCGTCCACCAATCGAACAGTTGAGTGCAGGTGATACTACCGTTGCGCTCCAACTCCGTCACGATACGATCAGTGATTTCCTCGTCGGACAGTCCATTTATCAATGTAGCCAGAACGAAGGACAGTTTGTTATAATAAATCGATACAGGTGTATTTGTGGAGAATCCCAGCAACGGTAGTAAGCTCAGTTTCGCACCGTGTTCTAAAGAATGCGACTGTATTGCTAAAAAGAGAAGAATTTTTTTATTTCTTTCGAAACAGGCGAAGGGAAATCGTTTGATATCTACCTTCGCGTAAAATGTTCGTAGCAGTCGTTGTAATCTTGTGAACGGCGTGAGAAGTGAATTTCAGTAGAACGAGAATACGATTCTCGATCGAGACTGTCGGATTCCAAATATCACTGGCTGATAGATTGCTTTTAAAGGCATCCAGGGTTTTGTCGAATTCCATGTCGATGTAATCAAGGACGGTCCTAAATTAGGAAGAATGCATAAAATTCAGAAGTTTAATCATTAATCTAATGTAACATGACGTAACAACGCGCTGACCTGGCCTCGTTCTTATCTGGCCACCTGTCCTCGAATATGCTTTTTACTTCCGGTGTCAGCGACTCCAGATGCTCGAGGAGATTCGGTTGTTCTGCCAACGCGACCTGTTTCGCATCGTTGACCAGATCGTCGAGTTTCTTGGCCAATCGACGGAATTTCGCGTAGCCCAAGGTCCAATTGAACGGTGGAAGTTGTATCGCGTCGTCGTGCTGAAACTGGCATCCGGTTCTCGTTCAGTATCTAGAACACGGACAAGAGTATCGTACTCACGATTTTTTTCGCCCTCGTTAAGACCGGTTGCTCCTTCCATTCCTGTATGAACAAAGACGGGTTGCACGATATCCTCTCGATCTCTCGTATTATCTCGCGGGTGCCGTTTCGCAGCTCCATCGCAGCACCGACGCTCTCGTTCTTCACACAGGGCCATTGTTCCTCGCGCGATTTGTAATCGTCCAAGAGGGATATCTGTCGCGTGAGACAAAAGTCGTAACGTGCAGACGATTTTGGATTCACACACGGTTGGTTCGACATAAAAAACACTGTTCTATTCAGAATCGAAAGGAGAGCCTGAAGAACTTACGAGGTGGATCGGTTTCATTGTGACGATGTCAACGACGTCGAGAATGAGCGGTGACAAATTTCTCAGGATAGCTCCGAGGAGAATTTCGGTCTGCGGCAAATCCTGCAGCACCTCGGATAAGGTCGCCACGTGATCGTTCTTCTGTATTTGATCGACGATCCTCTCCACGTTCTCGAAGATCACCGAGGACGCCCAACCGAACGCGTACATCTCCTTCCATCCGCTCTTCGCACGGAAAAGGGGACTCTCCATCAGGCTGAAGAGCTTGCAGATGAAACCTACGCTGCAGAGAAGATGTAACTCATCAAAGTGAATATCCGTCATTTTAACTGATACTATAAAATGTAAAAAGAAAAGTTGTTCTCGTTACTTGCGTACCTCATTTCGAAAACGTCCTTGGCGCTGATATAGAGGCTCCACGATGTTTTAAGCTCCGTCTTCAAACGTTCCAGCCGCGCCGGATCGTAGTCGGAGTTCTCCTGATTGATCAACGCGTCGACGTAACTATAAATCTCGATCGTTTTGACGTTGAAATCCGTCCAGTTAAACGATCCCCGGTTCCTGTGGCGTTCTTCCTCTTTTTGTTCGATTTGAGTCCTGTTTAATTCCAAATCGGTCTGTACGGATTTCGACATACGGCAAACGAGCGCTTTTAGCGCCGTATCGTTCGAGCCTGGTGGAAAATTTAACAAAGCGGGCGGATTCGGATCCGTGCAATACGTCCTGGTGAAATTGTCGTATTCCAAAAGCTTCAGAACCTGTAACACATATCGTTCTTGAAGTGAAGTGAATGAAAGGATTAAGATTATGAACTGACCTTATCCTTATCCGCAGCAGTTAGATAGAAGGACTCGATCAGTTCCTCTTTCCGGCGTCTAATTTCGCTGATCCAATTCCTTGGATTCTCCCGCAGGTCCTGCAGAATAATCTCAGCAAGTATATCCATGTTCTCCAGGTCTGGTTTGATGGTAACATAGGATAAACTACGATAGCCGATCATCTTTGCTATGGTCAAGTGAATCCCAACCCTGAAGAGAATATCCAAAATAATATAATCCGATGAGTTCAACGTGTTAAATGAGGATAAATCAATTTATTATTAAACTTGCATATCCATCCTCCCTTGCTGTCGAGTTTCTTCGAAGGCTTTGCGCCAGCCTTCGTCGAACTTGAACACGGACCAATCGGGATCTGGTTTTTTTGGCGATTTCATGAATGACATAAATTTCTCAGCGTTCTTAATAACCGATGTGACATTCGATTTATCGATGCCGGTCACTTGCTGCAGTGCCATGTTTACAACCGTGTACAACGTATCCGTCACCTGCGAGTCAGGTACCGTGAGAAAATTGTCCTGTTTCCGTCATCGAGACGTACACGCGACACTCACAATGCTATGAAAGTCTTCAATCTCGAAAGTTTCATACACGTCCCAGATGAACTTCTTCCCGGAATCGCTGCACAATAGTTCCTTGATGTGCCTTGATTCGTCTCTTCCGTCTTTAAAATCTTCGAAAATTTCGTTCAACGTCTCCTCTTGACAAAGGAAGTACTGGGGTTTTATATTCTCGGTTTCCTGTACAAATTTCTGTAAAAAGAAAACAACGCGGCTATCTGGTATATTCTATTACTGAAGAAAGAGGAGTCGTTCACTGGTGTCTATATACCTCGACGAAATTTAAATTAGAGAACGATTTAATCAGAGTCCGATAGAAGTTTGGATGAACGTTCGTCAATAACTTTTGAACTGTATCCTTATGATTGATAGAAACGTTGTAAATCCTTTGTTGAGCCTCGTCGTGGATGATCCCGAAGTGGTACAGCGTTTTGGTCATTAATCGCGTGTAGGAGAACAAGTAACTCATTGGAGCCAATATGTGATCCGACAAGAAATCTCTTAGCCCGTCGAAAATTTCAGCCGGTCTGTAAGAAAGTCAATTTTAATAGATACAATTTACTCGAGACTCGCGTGGACCAAAATGTCTCACATTAGAGCGTCGTATCTGTGACGATGCATGATCTTTTTCGTCAATTTGGCCCCGTCTTGTAGCAAGCCGATAATCAGATCGATGATTTGGAACATATTTTCGTTCTCCATTATATTCGTACGTACGCCTCGTGCCGAGCTGGCTAGCCGTTGTGCTATTTTGTAGAAGCTCTCGGAAGAGCCGCTGGTTTCACCCTGTTTCAACTCTTTCACCAATTCCAGCAACGATTGCAACCTCAAGAATTGTTTTTCAACGATATCCCAATTGCGTTCCTTCGAGAATATCGGTTGGAGAACTTTTAGTGATTTGTTCACGCTAAAATAGCATTAGAATAATATTTTTCTATGTGTCTTTGATTATCCACGAAACTTTGCTCGATGCTACTCACAAAGTCAGATCGATCTCTTTGAACGTGACGTTCTTCATGGCCATTATCATTTTTGGCATCCATTCGCGTATCCTTAAATACTCCGGGATGTGCTTCTTCACTAACTGGAGGTCTAAGATCGTTTCGGCGGCCCGCTTCAAATCCCTGAAGAAATCGTACTCCCGGAACTTTGCCATTACGCGATCGACCATCTCCAGCAGACCGGAAAAATCGAGATGCTTGGACAAACTTTCGAGCATCTTCGGTATCGCCTCCGAGTCGATGTCGCAGAGGGTCTTCGAGATCACCGCGTAGTCCTCCTCGTTCGACAGAAGCAGGTACTTTCTCAAACTTTCCGGGGAACAGATCACCCCATCGATGTTCGACGAGCCGAACGCCTCGATGAGCTAAAACCCGATTGAGGAAAAAACATTTTCATAGGAATATGCAATTCTATTGTATCCTCTGGCCCACAAGATGTGGTAGAGTAGAATGTTTTTCATTTTATAATATAATAAAATATCCTCTGTAATATTATTAATAAAAATGAATACTTCTAAACCAAATATTCTTATTATAAGTCTAAATAAATGTACGTTGAGTAAGCATAAACCTGCTGATACTAACATATAGTAATTTAATGGACGAATTAAATAATCCATCGATCAACCCGTCCCTCGCGTTCGGCATCTGCAGCCTGAGGAGGTCCTTGATTTCGTCGTGGTTGTTGAATAAATCGCCCAATCGAATGCCTCGATCTAGTTCGACGAATTCAATATACACACCACGTAAATTCACATGGATATATCCGATAAACGAGGTATCGGAGAAGGTAGAGCGTACGTACCGAACAACGCCTTGATTTCCGGTTTAGTGAGTATCTGCGCCATCGATTTCAGAAGCTGGATGCTGTTTGGTAACGTTCTGATCGCGGAAAGAATCGTCTCGTTGCCGAGCATCGGCTGTAGTTCGACCACCAACGGACCTAGACTATCGCGGGAACACGTTTCTGATCATATTTCTATAAAAGTACAATAACTAAGCAAATCTAAGCTATTTTACTTCCACGGTTCATAGAAAATTTTTTTTTAAATTCTGAGAGTCTAGCAGAAGAATATCGCAACTAACGTGGCAGTTTCGTAAGAAGGGACTTCTTCGTATTCCGACAACGGATCACACGGGTTGCCGAGGCTGCAAATGAAACTCTGAACAAACGGCAGCAGTCCATTTTGCGGCATGGACCTCGCTGGAAATTGGCAAGTCGGATAGTACTTCGGATCCACATTGTCGCGAATCGTATATAGGATCATAAATACTGCCACCGGCCACAGGAACACCAGGCCTAGTATGCCCTAAACATTCCAAGTTAGCGCGAACGCTTTTAGCAATCTCGGTCCGAGCCGCGTTTCTCGGAAGCTACGATTACGTACCGGTTGACGTTTCCGTACTATATAGTTCTTCCATAGAAGAAGTCCAATCTGGTCGACCCTCATCTTCGTGGAAGCGGTTTAGACCTGTGAAACGAATCGTGGAAACATTTCATTTAGCGTTGATTCTAAGTGTACCGAAACTTTCCGACGAGGCGAGCGGAATTGATCGAGCAACTTCGCGGGTCCCGCGCAGCAAATTTCGAAAACGTCAAAGCAGAGGATCGACAGAGATATACAGTGTTCGAAGAGCTCCGCGATCCATGAATCAAGATCGAACGCGCAAAACCGCCTTGTTGATATATCGCGCGATGCCGAACAAATATTTGAAGAGCGTAACAAGCGGTGTGTCCGTCGGTGTCGATACTCCGCGCGCCGCGTCACGCCGGTCAAACCGGAAATGCGTTTCACTCCGTCGCGTGTATTACGCCGGAATACATTGCGGGGAAACGGAACAATGAACCGAACGGATTGCTTTTCGCGTGCGAACGAAAAGGACGAAGTTCGATCGCGTTTGCGGATCGCATCCGCGCGTTTCACGTTCCGTCCCTTATTTCCGGCCGAAACGACGACGCGCGAAAGTGAACCGGTAACGACCGACTGGTCGCTGTATTCTAATTTTCGTCGAATAAATTACCGGTGAATATTAAATGAGGTTTTAATGCGCAACGCTTGGAAAATGCGAATGAAATAAGCTCCGCCTTTGATATCGGGCCACCTGGAATTGATCCGATGGTGTTCATTTATTAATACCGGGCGCTACGTTCGCACGCGGTTCATTGCGCGCATATACATTTTACACGTAATAGCTGGGCCGAAAAGAAGCGTCCGATTGATTTATTTGTTAATTTCCAGCCACGCTTGACCAGTGCATTGTTTCAATTTACGAAATTAAAGCGCGGAACCGCGTTCGCAACGCTCTATCGATTTCTTTCCCGATGGTTTATCCACGGATTGTGAATGGTACAATTAATAAATTAAACGTGAACCGATGTTAATGAATAATTGTGATGTTTAACTACCGCCACCACTTGAAACAGGCAAAATGCTTGTGTAAGAATACATATAATGGGATCGTTTTGTGCGTAATTTTAAGAAAGGAAAGGAACAGTCGACGGATTTATAAATCTCCGGAATTTACGTTCGTTGACGGTCGACCTCTAAAATGAGTGGCGTGCTGGTGCACGTACACCCGTCATTATTTGAATTCAAGATTACGAATTATCGTTGTAATTATTGATTTGAAAATACCATCTCCCGCTCTGTCATTTGTATAATCGTAGCCGTTCGCGGATACGCGTTTTGTGAAAACCCTCCAAGAAGTCTCTCGAAAAGCATAGCGATAAAAAAATAAGTGTAGAAAAATCGAACAGAAAGATGCAATTCTGAAGTTAACTAAAAATTATTTACTCTTCATGCAAATGCAATATGTCTCAAACTGACAATATGAATACATATACAATATATAGGAATCATCTTGAATCGAATAAGATTATTATGCAATTGGATGCACGCGTGACCGTGAATCCACGTTTCGTTACCATCGTTGAGTTATCGGTCGTAAAGAAACTTGTTCGACGAGGAAGCATTCCGGTTCGAAGGACGGTTTCATTCATTAGCGCCTCGCAAATTGTATGTACATACTTTCACTGCGTTCGTAAATTGTGCCGGCTTTTCTGTACGAGCAAAACGTGCGATACCTCAGGGAATACTGATTGCAGTGACTATGAGAACGCGTGCAAATTTCCAATTAAGTGCAATTAAGTCTGTGTCAAGACAGATTATAAATACATCATAAAGAACAGAGATGGATGAAAAATTACAAAGAAGAAGGAGTTCTGTAAACCGAAATAAGCAATGAAGGAAATCCAAGCGACCAGTTCTCCAGGCGGGGCGAACAATAACCGGCAATTAATGAACGTTATTCGACCACACAATCGCTCCCTTCCCTCTTCCTCTTCAACCATCTGACAACCTGAGATTTGCCTCACAATGCGAATTAGTATTAAAAACGGCGGACAACAATTCCTCAGGCGAAATTGGTACTCTTTCAAGTCGTCCTCGACCATTAAGGATTGTACGGTTCAAAGTCGACAGGATCGTATGAACCGAGACTGGAAAACCGGCGATTAACGCTTTTCCTCATACCATGAAAAACTTGCACGCTAATTTATTAATTATTTATTCTCGCCGGAGTTATTACGCGTACACAACGAGCGCGAGCAATGAAATGAGAAATCTCGTATGTTCTATCTTATCGAAGGTCACGATTGAATTCTTGCTTCTTTTGGATATTGATGCGTTTGGTCAATGACAGGCAGAGATCCGGTGGGACGGTAGCATCAAATTCTCGGAAGTCTAAACAGATTGTGGTGGAGCGCAGCTGGTCGAGCAAGTTTTGCCGACCATCACCGCGAGCAGACCTTGTCGATGAAGAAAAACGAAAAAAGTATCCTGAAGGCGATGCTCACACTTCTAGTTGTTCTCCAGTAGTACTATAGTAAACTACGAATCGAGTGCTAGTCGAGCAGTCGTAAATTGAAGGAAAACTCTATCATGTCCATGAGATTCCTTCTACTTAAATGTCTTTTTATTCTTAGCCTGTAATATATACGTTTTCATCTTTAAACTGAAGGATGAGACAGACAAATTAGAAACAGATAAAGTTTTGATAGCTTGCTTCAACGAAGATGCTTACTGGAAAAGGCAATGTAATTGAATTTCTCGCGGGAGAGAACGTGAAATGTTTATGTAGCAGAAGAAGGGAAACGACAGTGAAGAAGAAAATAATGTCATCAAAACAGACTACCATTACTACTCGACCAGCTTGTTTCTGTTTCGAGTCTCATTCCGGCATTTCGCATTACACAATACTTTGAGATGAATTATGGAATCTTAAAGATGAAGTCTCATTTAGGGAACGTCCAATCGGCCTCGCGTGCGGTGCAATTTCTTAGGGTTTTAAGCGGTGGAACATTCGCCAACGTTTCAAGACCGGATGTTTCCCGTAACGATACAAAATCGAGCGTTTCTACTCACGTTTACTTGCACGGTGAATTCCTTCGGACCAAAAGATAAGATTTCGCTTTATCGGTTGTAATATCACTCGAGCCTCATCGATCGGGTCGCAAATTAGTAAAACCGCAGTCACCAAACACGCGGGAAAAACGAAAGAATTCACAGAGGAGAATCGAGCACCAGCCACGCGATTAGGTGTATAAAGTAAGAAGCGCGAATTCGTGGGAACGGATCGTCGTTACGTCGAGACACCCTGATGTTCGACCCCGACACCCCGGAGGTTTATCATCCCGATTCAGAGCCCGGACGCTAAAAACGCCGTTCTCTCTCGCGGATTTTTGGCGAACGTTCCTCCCGAGACGCCTTCGGGCGAAAACACTGAACGAAAGGGAACTTGTTCCTGTTCCCTCGGCCTTCCTCGGTCTTCTCGTTGCTTGAAGAGAAATACTCCGACTCGCGTTTAATACACACTTGGACGACGACGGTCGGAGGCAGACTGTTGCCACCACCGTGATCCACGACCACGTGGACCTTAGCAATGCTTCAACATCCGCTCGTGAATATGTATTTATACGCCCGTACACAAGTATACGATTGAATGTACGGATGTTTCTTCGCGCCTAAACAATTCCTTCATCTTCGTAAAGGCCTGACTTCTCTTTTTTCTGGTTTCTTTATTTCCCTTCTTCAACGCGATTTCGGCCTCGACCTTCCAATCGAACACTCGCGTATGCACGAGCCGTCGTATAGGTGCGAAATAAATCGCCCGCACCCAACGTGCGTCATTCGATGTATTCTGTCCTTCTGTTGTTTATTTATTTATTTATTTCTCCCATTGACCTTGGAATATTCTTTGATGAAATCGTATTTTTAACCTAATTTGAATTAGCTTCTTCAGGAATTGACAAGGCGAAATATATATAGAATAGAATAGCAATTAGTAGAATTGTACTTTAGAATAGAAAGTTTTCTGACAAATATAAGTACCTGTCGACCTAATCAGGCAGGCAAAAGAGAAGATGAAAAGAAAATGAAAAGAGACTTACAAAGACTGTACAAAGCCTAGGTATCAAGAAATATCGTATGCATAATTAAACGAGATGAAATTCATTAATCGACTAAATATTGAACTCCGGACTTGCGTATAATGATACAAAAAAAGTATGATTCACAGTATTAGCATGACACTTAGAGCAAAATGTACATATATACATACATGTATAATTCTACTTAAAAACCGTGAAATTAATAAGCAGATTACATCCGCATAAAACAGCTCGCTCGATTATTTTATTATTGACACGGACATGTGAATAATTGGACAACATAATTTCATCAATTTCATCAATTAAAACAATTTTCAAGTTAATCTTTTTCTTCGATTGAGCAATTAAATCCAGAGAATTCAGCAGTTAATCGTTCATGATTCAAATCTGTATGCAAGAAAAACGTCAACGCCGGTTTAATAGATCGGATTTGTCAGGCAAATAGACGCGAGACTTCAGATAAGCAGGTCGTTCGAGGTTGACCTCCTGATATATGTATTGAAACGATCGGCCGAAGCCGAAACCAGTCGTGCACGCTAAACTATCATTGCCGTTATCAAAACTCATCCTCTCCAACGGGGCGAACCGTCATCCAAGCTATTAATTAATATCAATTAATGCTACCGAAACGGGCGGACCAAAATAAACAACCGCGAAATTATGAAATTATCCGGCTAATTGGTACTTCGGAAGAATATGTGAATTGTAGTACGAATTTATGCGTTATCATCCGAACAAACATGTTTGCGTTGCTCGTCGTAGAAAATCACTATTCTTGTCTATCAATGTTGTAGCGGACGAGACCTGATATCCATCTCAACTATGAATATCAGAAAATCGTTCCATTGTTATTCGTACTTAAGCTAATGTTCTTGAGAACTAATGAGTCTTATCAGAGACTAATTACTGGGTTAATCACCCAGCACGGATGACACAATGGGTGGAATGTCTGAGACATTAGATATACATAACTTCGAGGAAGATAGGAGAAAGGAGAGAAATAAATGAGAAATCGTATACTCCTTTTCGTTAATGTCCCCTGAGCGTGAAGGGAAATAATAAATGATTCGAGGACGAAACTCATATTCGTAAATATTCCTGGGAGAATGCTTAGCGCTAGGTAAAAGGGGAGTGGAAGACGCTTAATTCTTTTTTCGAGAAACGTTGCGCGACCATCCCAAACCTGGTTGGAGGAGAAATCCTCTTTGTATTCTATTTTTCATCAGTCACGGGTGGTAATCCTATTAAAGGGTGAATACCGGAATTCCGCGTAACCGAGTCGCAAATCCTACCCCGCTGTTTTTTTAAACCTCGTATAGCTGAATCTAAAAATACGGAGCGCGCGGTGTTTGAAAAAACGAGAATAAAAAAAAAACCCGGGAACCTGTCTGACCAGAGTTCGACCACTGTGGCTCGTTTCGTGGAAATCGAGAATGCCGACCGCGTGCGTATAAGCGCTAATACCGGTCTGACATCGGATCAGATGCAGCGGCTGTATACGTCAGAGAGCGAAGAAATAATTAGGTGCAGAAGACTCGGTCGAGGAGAAAGAGGGAAAGATTTGATTTTGCCGTACGTGTGAGTCGTATCGACGCGTGTTACCTAATAAACAGACACATAGACGTGAGAAAAAAGCGGAAGCGATGCGAGAATGACTCGTTGACCGCGTTTTCACGTAGCCACGCGTTTTTCTCATAATCACTGGTTTTCATACAATGCGTCTAACGAAGCAAGACGTGATTCGAGCAGACTTGAGATGCGAACACAGATTTCAAAATGCGAGATAACTTCTAATTGTTAACTCGTAGAAAATCTCATTCCACTTTGTTTTCCTTAACGATAAATTATTGAGAATAAAGTAAAAAATAGATTCCCATTCAAGACGACTTTCTGTTTCATGTGCGGTGACCTCGATCTTCGGTGACATCAATTTACACCTAATTTTCGAGTAAGAGTAAATTCGCGTGCACCCGCGAAACGGCTTTCGTTGTTCCAAATACCGACCGGTCTGAGATAAGTGAAAATGTATTAAAGCAGTGTTAAGCAAGAAAATCGCCGGAAGATGCGAGGCATTAATCTCGCAAATTGCAGCAAAACTTACGTACATGCGGTATTTTATGATGAAGGTGCTCGGGCGTGTTAGAGAGAGATAGAGAAAAAGCGAGACGATCTTAATGAAGTAGCAAAAACGAGGATAACAAAAGCTCCTACTCTGTTCCAGCAACGAGTTCAATATCAACTATCATGCGTTGAATTACGTAGGGTCTGTTATTAACACCGTTTTGACCCGGCAGGCACCGTCGTATAATAAACGGTGAATTTTCCATAATTACCAATTAAATCAGCCTTCACCGTTTCCCAACTACGGCATATAACAGCAGATACGTTTGCGGTCTGAAACTTTGTGAGATAAATTCTTGCCACAAACCACAATCGAAAACGTCAGAAGCAACAGCATCTAAAAGGACGGATAAGACAGTGTCGAGTGTAGCAGATTTTGATTAAACGGACTACAAGACGATAACGGAAACTAGAAGTATGTTCTTTGAGAATTTTTAGTGTATATCGATCTGGGGAAGTAGGAGGTTCCAATGAATCCAGAAGAGGAAAATGAAAGAATAAATGCTCATCAGTGTGCGAATTATCAACCCTTCCGGGAAGCATCGTGTCCGGCAGCCGATACGCGTGCGTGATAACAAAAGACTATGGACAGCGATATCTTCTCTGAATTGTTACTGCGCATTCGATAGATAAAGCAATCGTTTATGATAATTTTGGATGGAAAACAAGATTTAGGAATGATGAGCTGATATTGATCGAGACATATCTGTTGCTATTAAATTTTATAAAGCATAATAAAATATAATAAATGTACAAAAATGTTTAGGCCATCAGAGCACGGACAGTTGCAAACAATTTATCACGGCCTGGTAGATTATGTTGTTTGTATCCGGGAAGTTCTGCCTCGCATCTCTCGATCCAAGCCTTCACGTTCGGAAAATCATCCATATTCACTAGAATCTGAAAGATAATTCAAAGAATTGTATTGAAAAATTTATGTACATTAGTTTTATTCGTAGCAGATAAGCTTACAGCGGAACTCGACGCAGTTGTCACGCAACTGATATCAGCGAGAGTATAAGAATCATCAACCAGCCAGTTTTTACCCTCCAGGAAGCTGTTCAAATGTTCGTAAGATTCTCTCCATACTTTCATCTTGTCTTCAGAGATTTCCTTCCCACTTTGAAGGAATAGTGGTCTCTAAAACAATGGAAAATTAAAAATGAATGTCAATCAATGATAAACAAATCAAAATAAAGAACTTTAATTTTTCAAAAGTAGCATGTCGTTGTAATAAATTTGAATCCTGTAAAGTATAAATTGTGAGAATGAAAGAAAGAAGAATTCTGAACCAGACGGTCTGACTAGAAATGTCTGCATCCCCTGTAGCGGTCCGATGCGACTGTGCTATACTATAGGAAGATTGCTGCTACTATAGCGCTATATTGTCTCCAATTCCCTTTTGCTTCGTTTGTATCCATGACAATTTTTTGCATTTGAAAAGGGTTGGTTCAAGATAGCTGTTTCTCGTAAATGCCGAGAGCCCTTTGTAATTGGCCCATCGCAGACAAAAGTGTGCTGTTATCCGACTTTATTACTCGATGTGAAAAGGGTATATAGGATGCTCGGAAACTTTCTACAGCGTCACATAATGCTTCCGCTTTGCTTACGTGTGTACACAGACGAAGGGAGGAAAAGCGAATCGCATTAACCTCCTTTTGCGAAACTTAATCGACTGTTCCAATGGTCGCGCAACTTTATCCGGACAAAGTGCCATGAACAGAAGTACAAACCAAAAGTACAAAAAATGGTAGGAGGTATAATTTATTTAAATGATGAAGAGAATAATGAGACTGATCTCGGATCGTGTGGGTTTTCGTCTATATAAATGAAACAAATAGGAACCTAAAACGACCAAACTTCCCCCCCCCCCCCC